GATGCCTCTGGATTGGATATGGCACATCCACAAAACAACTGGGCTGTTCACACTCCAAGGAGGTGTAAGTGGGAATTGAAGACAAAATGGAGCAGATGGAAGAGCTCTAGGAAAGGAGGCAGTGAGACAGCACAGGGCAGGGACTCAGCCCATTAGAGTTCCTCTCTTTCCAGCTTTTCCTGTTTCTCCCATGCATCTCTGCACTCCTTTGGAAGGTGGATTATAGATTTGTCCTCTGAACCATGACTTGCATTTTTTCCACATTCTAAGTCTCAGATGTCTTTGGCTGGCTGGCAGCCAGCAGAGGCAGAGCAGGGGTGCCTCCTTCACTCTGCCTTCATCAGAAGCTGATATCTGTGCTCAGCTTCTGAGGTGAGCAAGGCTGAGTGGTTCTTCTTTCCCTGGGAAGAGCCAGAGGGTGGCAGGTTCTCCACAACAACCAGCTGCTTCTGTATTTTGGAGGTGTTATGTTTGCCTTGCTTCTGTATAGGTATTGATGGCATTTTATTATTAATTGTGTTGCAGTAGCACCTAGAGGTCCTTGCTGAGATCACAGCAGTTGGTGGGTCCTGTAAAGCAAAATTCATGGAGACAATCCATCCTAAATGGATAGCAGCCACACTGGAAAGAAAAGGGGTGTTTCAGAAGAGAGGATGTCTTTTCATTTACACCTCACTTGAAATGACCATCCCAGTGAAGCTTAATGTCTGTAAATAATTTTTATCGGAAAGAACATTGATGGTTTTTGAACCAATCTATAAATGCCATGTCCCACTGGGGCAGGGAGTTCCTCTGGTGGGGGATAATGAATCATAAACCATAGGATGGTTTGAGTTGGAAGGGACCTTAAAGATCATCTTGCTCCAACCCCCTGCCATGGGCAGGGACACCTTCCACTAGACCAGGCTGCTCTAAGACTCATCCAACCTGGGCTCTCGTCCAGACCTTCACTCACAGCATCCATAATCCTCTTGGATCCTGATCCAGAGTCTGTGAAGGTAACCAAGGTTCTCTCCATCTATTACAGTGGGACCTGGATCAGGTTTTACAGTAAGATTGAGAAACTCGACTTAATTTTCAGGCATTACACAATAAAGCTTTTATAGGAGTTTATTCAAGCCCACCAAGAGCCAGCTGCTAGAGACTGATCCCATGAATTTTGGTGGATTTTTGCCCCTGATAATCCACAGCCTTAACTGTGACTGAGTTACATCAAGAGAACTCCAGAAAGGCTTGAATGGATGCTGAGTGATCCAAAGGAACTCTTTGATAACCCATCAAACACCTCTATCATAAGCCATTATTTCTCTTCCATTTTATTGCTCATTGTTCACTTCTAATTAAAATAGTTCACTTCTAATTAAAAATTCCTGTATTTTGGGACTCAGCTCGCAAATTAAGATACCTCATTTTCTAACTTTATGAATGTGTTTGATGTTTTCTGCAGAGCTTTCCGGTCTCATATTTATCTTTTATCTTGTCAGCCATCCTCAGGTACATATTGGATACTCTAGAACATCTCAAACTGTTCTGTGAATCTACATTTTGACAACTGAGGTGATTGACTCTGAGAATCAGGCATGTCCAAGGGGGAATGTTGACCTGCATCAGGTGAAATTATCCATTTTCCAAAAATATTGGCTGCTCTCCACCAAGAAGCCTTGATTGTAGATGATGAGTTACAATCCTGTGTGATGAATTAATGGAGAAATATTAGAGCAGGGCATTCTCTTCTCCATCACATCTCCTTCAGGTGATCACCAGATTTTAAGGATTTACAATCCATTGCCTCTGGGTGTATTTTAGCTAAATTGTGGTGGGATTTAATACTGTTTTCTCTGAATATCCTAGCATGGCTGCTCAGGAACTGTGCTGTGGCAGCCTGAGGGAAGTGGGGAATCTGTTTACCAGTAAAATCTGAGGTTTTACTATTGCTTTAAAATCATAGAATTGCATGGGCCTCACCCAGGACACACTGAGTGAGCTGCAAGTTGTTAAACACTCAAGAGGGGATGTGCTGTTCAGTGATAATTCAGCACTAGTAAAAGGTGTCATATTGGTGGCTCTGAAAACAGATGTTCTCTGGAAATCCCAGGCAGTGTGTTGAGAGGATGGGATTCCTGCAGCAGCGTGGGAAGGCTCTGTATGGAGCAGATGGAATGAACTGTTATCCCAACCCTGCACTGCCCTGAAACAGTGGATGCTGCATTAAATCAATGTGAGAAATGGCATTTATTTAACCCTCAGAAAACATTCAGTTGTATTTCAAACTACCAAAATGCTTTTTTGGTAGTTTGGAAGCATGACAAAGACGAACCTCTGGAATTATTAATTCAAAGAGATTAATCTTGCAAGACATTAGGAAGAAAATTTACATTATAGACACAAACACAGCTAAAGTGCTGCTGATGTCAGAAACATCCCATACTACAAATACAGACTATTTGAAGTGACATAACACAAGTGTAGTCCATATAAAAGAATGTATAAATTCCCTAACTCAGCTGGCTGAGCTCCATGGATCCCTGACTCTCTGTCATTGGCACCATCTATTTTCTGCACACACAGCACAGCAGTGATGAGTGTGATTGAAATATCTACACCCAGACATGGAACCACGTGAGAAAATGTGGGCAAAAATAGCTTTCACTGAAAAAAATGTCCTTTACAAATAGAACAGTCCATAAACTTAGTGGGGCTTGAAAGACAGATTCTTTTACTTTAGGAACAGAACACATTTCCTGTCTATTTTTCTTTTTTTCTCTCTTCCTATTTTTCTTTTTCTCTTTCTTCTTTTTTATCCTCTTATTTTTCCTACTTGTATAAGATCCAGGAGAAAGAGAACAGAAAAGTAAAGAAAGAAATTAACAGAATTTCCTTTAAATTAATAAAGCAATTAACTGAATTTCCATTAACAGATGGCAAAAACCTACTCAAAATATTTGATTTATTAAATTCTAGGCTTTCAATAAACTTTTAAAGTGAGCTAGAAAGCTGTTTTCATTAGGACTATATAGAGATTTTTTTTTTTTAGTAATAGATGGACCAGAAGTGGAGTGAACAGAGGCAAACTGAGATTTGTGGGATATTTTTCTGTGTCACGGTACCCATCACATGAATTTGGCAGTTTCGTTGCTTTGCAGAATTTAATGAAAGTTTCATTGAGAAAGGGTCTCTTATTTTAGGTTTTATAGCAAACTGGATGGGCCTAAAACACAAACATTGTTATAACACAAGCAGAAAATAAAAATTAATAGGAAGACAAAGGTTTTTTTATTGTATTCCCACTAAAAAGTTGATGCCATATGTTCTATTGTAAGAAATGCTTTCAGAAGTGATTTACTGGATCCAGAATGTTCTTCCATTTATCTCTGTCTTGCTCTTCCACCCTCCACACATTTATCCTCTTATTTGCACCAGATCCAACACCAATCCCTTAGTGCCTCCCACAGTCCTGGTGGGACATCTTGGAAAACCCCAGGAGCATCTCACAAACTGAGGGCTTGGGCTTCCAAGGGGCTCTGGTTCTTCATTCCTTGGCTGGAACAATATTTAGAGGCCAAGTCTTTCCTTTACACAGTTATTTCAGGCACACATGACAACTGCAGAACTGTCATTGCTGCTCCTCTGAGATTCCTTATCTTGGTTCTCGTTAAGGGGATGATGATTAAGTGAAAGAGTGAGGTCAGGGTGCATCTTGATAAGCCCAACACCAGAGCTGGCTTGGTAACCCATGGCGTGGTCACCTCTTGTTGAAGTCTTCCCTATGCTCTGGAGATGTTCTCCTGAAGGAGCAGGCAGAGGAGGAAGGGACATCCTACGTTGTGGAGATGCACAAAACTGCCAGAAATTGGCCACTCTAAAGTCCTCTCAGACTGCACGAGAGACTTCTCCTTCTTTTGAAAGACATCAAGTATTTTACCTGAGAGCTCAACTTCTGTCTTTCAAATGAGACGTTGCAGAAACAAGATGGAAGATGGCTCCAAGATCTGTCTGCCCAGTGCTTCCCACAGGACTGATTCCTGCTCTTTGAGAGAGACAAATGTATTTGGGTAAAAGCTGGAGGGGGATCTGAGAAACTTGATTCAGCTGAAGATGTCCCTGCTCATTGTAGGGGCTTGGACTGGATGGCATTTAAAAAGTCCCTTCCAGCTCAAACTTTTCTAGTATTATACAGTTCCATGATAAGTGACTCATGAAGGACTTGGTGTATGATCCAGGAACAGGTCATGTGGTGAGGACCAAGGGTGCAAACCTGAGTTCTCGTGGAGGAACAAAGATTCCTTCCCAGGCACTTCCCAGGCTGGAGACAATGTCCCTCATTGTCCAGCTCTGATTCAAAGCTTGGGGTTATAAATGAAGCAGTATTTGAGGGAATATTAAGGGAAGCCACAATTCTTCCTAAAAAGTCCCTCTTCCTAAAAAAGATCAACTAAGGGACAAAATGAAATGCAGCATTTTTCAGGTAATAAAAGCTGCCCCATACAGAAATTAGAGGAATTTAAAGGCTATAATTCTCTGTAAGGCAAACTGAAACACCTCCAGTTTCACCCTCTTCCTCACTACCACATGAAATATGCCCAAATTTTTTCAAGAATTTGTGAAATCTTGTATAATACATAATAAATAAGATATATTCTCTCTTAGGCAATCTCTCCGAGACCTTCCCTATCTTAAGAAATCTGATCAAAACATAGCAGAGCTTCTCTTTCAATGGAAGAATTCTCCAACAGGCTCTGGTAGGCCCCAAAGTTCTCCAGAACCATGTTTATTTTCATTGAATCACAGAATATCCTGAGTTGGAAAGGACCTACAAGGGCCATCAAGTCCAACTCCTAGCCCTGCACAGGAAAGCCCCAAAACCAACATTTCATGCTCGAGACCATTATCCAAATACTCCTTCATTTAGGTGACAACACATTGTCAGTTGATTGCAGGCCTGGAAGAACCAAATTCTTGTGTCTGGGCTCATGGTGCTCCCCTTGCTGCTCCCTTTGCAGATCGACAGCATGCAGGCCCTGCTCCACTGCCCCAACGTGCTGGTGTGCGTCGGCCGGGAGCCCTTCAAACCTGTATCCATGGAGAATTTGAGGAAACACTCGGTGGAGAAGCTGCCCAATCTGCCTCCCCGCTCCAACAATGGCAACAATGTCAACGAGAACAATGAAAGTAAGAAAAACCTTGGGGCCGCGCCGCGCAGTCCTGCCCAGGGCCGCGTCCCAGAGCCTGGGGATTGCAGGTCCCTATTGTGCTGTCCCAATGTATGGATTTCACGTGGAAAATGCACTTCCCTCTCCCTGCCTCCCAGGCCTTTCCATCCTCCCCTTCTTTTTCTCTGGTTTCCTTCTAGGATTTCCTCCCTACACCCCCTAGTCTTTCTTTTACATGCTCCCCATGTCTGGCTGACTTCCCTTCCTCTTTCATATCTCTGGGTCTCCTTTTCCTTCCAGAACTCCCTCCTTTCCTGTGTCTGTCCACCCAGACTCTGGAGATTTCCCACGAATCCTCTATCCCCTCGTTGTCTGTCCTATCATGCCTTCCCTCCTGCACTTTCCTGCACCAGGACCAGAGGATGCCCAGGTTCTGCCAGCAGGAGACTCAGTTTCTCCTGCAAGTTACAGCTGGCCTTTTGCAAACAAACTCTGTTTTTATGGAAAGATTATATGCAGGAAGGAGTATGTTATGGATTATTCAGGATTATATTTTTTTGGCACCCCATCATGAGTTATCTAAGGTCACAGGTAATTAAACCAGCCACCCTCAGTAGCCTGGGAAAAGAAATTTCCCAATTCCAAAGGGCAATTAATCTCACCTGTATTAAGGATTTATTGTAGGATAAAATTAAGTGTGCCCCAGAGGTATGTTTGTTTCTCTCCATTGTCAATACCAGAAGCTTGGAAAGATTCATTTGTGTGTGGTCAACAAGTTGTAGAAACTCAAGGACAGAGGCATCCTATGCTCACTATCCAAGACATAAAAAATTGGAGGGAAACATGGGAATAATCTGGAGCTTTGCCCATCAAGAGACCGAGCAAATTCAGTTCAATCATTAGGATGGTCAGGGAAGAGCTATTTAATGTGATTTGGATGTGCTCCTGTTCAGCACTTCACTTCCTAAAATGCCCTCCAATCAGCTGCATATCCATATGCCCAAGGAGGCACAGGATTGTCTGGATATATGTACAAGGAAATTTTGGACAAACTCATATTTGAAATAAGAGAGATGAATGTCTTGCAAGACAGCCTGATAGCAATATATTCTGCTTGAAATGAAGGGACCTACACAAACCTGTGCAGATCACTGCATGGGCCATAAAGATGTTCTTCCAATTCAGATTCCTTAATTTCCGTATTCTCACTGATTTCTTCTACAACTCCCAATATTTCTCTTTGCAATTATCACCAGCTTACAATTCCTTTTCTGATTGTTCTTTATGTTTTAATAAGAATTATAATTACTCTTAGTGGCACATCCCTGCAGGGACTGAGTGTTGCTCTGCTGTATATGGCCACACATTTCCCAGAATAAGAGTGGAGTAGTGAATGTTACACAATAAATGTATGACCAGCTAAGGAAGAAGGTCACTTCTCCATATATTTTTCCCTGGTCAAACAAGAAGAATGAAACAAGAAGAATGAAAACTTTGGGCATTTTTTCACGTCACAAATATTCTGTTATTTAATTTTCACAGTTAAATAAGGGAATATTTGTAACATGAAAAAATGCCTGAACTCAGAGACTAAATTGCTCCATATGTATATATATTTTTGATTTTTCTTAATTTTACTTCCTGACATGCACTAAATAAAACAGTGTTTGTGTTTCAATTTATTTTCTTAAATAAAGTTAAGGTGTAGAAGATTTTATTACAGATTATTAATTCAAAACTTAAAATTTAACAAGGAAGTTGGACTAGATTATCTCCAGAGGTCCCCTGCAACCTTAACTATTCTATGATTAATGGACATGACTTAGTCAAAGACAAATTTTCAAACTGTGTAAATTGGCATAGGCTTGGCTTTAATGGAATAATATCAGGATTCCCTAGTTTGAGGGCTTGACTTACTTACATATTTTCTGTCACCTTTATGTAAGTTAACCTCTTTCTCCATCTTTCTTCACTCCAGTGAACTTTGGACTGAAAGCCAAAAAAAGTGTTATCCATCCACGGTCAGCATCCAGCAACAGGTCGATGAGATTTTCCTTGTCATCAGAAAAGTCGTACCCCAATGGCCTCGTGGCCTCTCCAGACAACGGGGGACCCTTCTCCAATGGCTGCTCTCACCCAAAAGCTGGGGACCTGGTCCAGTCCCTGGTCAACGATGACATCGAGAAGCGGGTCCACGTGAACAAGGACGGGAGCTTGTCCGTGGAGATGAAGGTTCGCTTCCGCTTGCTCAACGATGAGACTTTGCAGTGGTCCACCCAGATCAAAAAGTCCAACCTGATGAACCAGCTGCCTTGTGAAGAGTCAGGAGTGGAGGAGGACAGCGGAGCAGATCCCCTACAGAAAATGAACCCAGAAGCCAGCTCAGAGGCAGATGATTCCTTATATCCCTGCGATATCGATTCCTACATGTCCAAACTTGAGGAATCAGAATATGACGAGGCCCACTGTCACAGCTGTGGAAAGAAACACCAGGACTATGACATTTGGAAGAACCCCATGCACATGTCCCAGAGGGAAGAGCCCGGCGTGCGAAGCACCTGGCACACGCGGTCGTCATGCTCCAGCACATCTTCCCGAAGGAGAGTAGTCCACAAAAAAATGACATCTGTGGACAGCATCCACACCACATCCAGTGAGGAATTCTCTGAGCACATTGTGAGAGAGTCCTCATCCTACTCAGAGACTATAAAGAACAGAGTGGCGTATCGATCTGTTAAAAAGTGTGTGTGCCGAAGTGATTTATCCACAGGTGCTTCCAATGGGGAAGAACAGCAGGAATACACCAGGACAAGCACAGGAAACAGCCAGAGACCTTCATCCTTGGGCTTGATGTCACATTCAAGCTGTGAAAACAACCTGGATACTCAAGACAGCCCTGAAGACCAGGAGATCACCAAAATCATTTCACAAAATGAGGATGCAAATTGTTTTGAAGCTTCCTCTGTGAAGTGCTTGAAGGATGACCCAGAAGAGGTTGAAAGCAGCAGAGTCGGGAGTGTCATGTCCAGGTCATCCCTGCAGTCCAGGCAGAGCAAGAAGAACGTGTGTGAGGAAGTGAGCAGCGTGGGCAGGAGCATGTCCTCCTCAAGCCTTCAGAAGGCAAACCAGGGAGAGAACAGCCAGTGCTCCACCCCTGCCAACAGCGTGCACAGCAAGTCCAGTAACTGCACCACACCAAAAGAAAAGGCTGACACCTCTGAGGACAACCCAGTGGTGTCCTCTTTCTCCAGTGAGTCCTGCCCCAAGAAGGAGGCTGAAGAGGTGGAAGCAGAGCAGGAAGAAAGTGAAGTCAATGAAGTCAGCTCAGTGTCAGCAAAAACAAAGCCAAGCCAATCAATCAGGGGTGAGAGCAGTGAAGGGGAACGATGCTCTACGCAGGGAACCCACCATTACAAGGCTAGTGACAGGAGCAGCAAGAAAAGTGGCAGTGATGAGAATGTTCCATGCAGTGTCTCTTGCTCTTCCAGAGGGTCCAAAAAGAGCAAACGCAGCCACGTTCATTTGGACGCACAGTCTGAAATATCTGTGTCTTCACTTGAATCCACTCTCAATAAAAAGAATTCCCTACATGCAGATGATGTGAGATCAGGCAGCAGGGCATCAATTTATTCCAAAAGCTCATGTGAAACCAAGAAAAAATCTGCTGGAGACACCATGTCTCATAAGTCAGGATCTCTTCACTCAAACATTTCATCTACCAGTGAACCAGAGGCAACTGCTGGTCCTGCTGAGGACGAGAGCTCAAAAAGTACTGCCAATGGCTACAGTGAATGTTCAAAAAGCTCAAAGAAGAGAAGCCATAAAGAAGAAAACAGCAAGCCATCATCCCTCTGCTCAAGTGTTTCAAGTCCTAATGGAAAATCTGGAAAGGGTCATGCCAGGATTAGTTCTGAACCCTCTTCTTCAAAACAGGGAAGCATGAGTGGGAGTGTATGCTCAAAAGTTGACCACCCAAGTGAAGATGGGATTAGGAATGAAAAACCCACAAGTAGCTCCTCAAGAGTCTCTTCAAAGTCAGAAATAAAAGATAAATGCGTGTTGACCCAGATATCCCAGGAAACTGATGATAGGTGTTCACAATCAAACGTGTCTCTGTCTTCAAAATCAAGACAGACAAACAGGAAAAATCTTCGTGTGAAGGTGTCAAACTCCAGCCGGGCATCGGTGTCGGAGACTATGTCAGTGTGCAGTCTGCAATGCCCCGCCCCACCAAAAGGGAAGCCAAAGAGAAAAAATATGCGTGCAACCATGTTGAAGAATTCCTCCATCAGCAGCATCGGCACTGAGTCCGTGCTGACCGCAGGGAGAGAGCAGAAAGAAATTGTGGATTCCTCCAAAGCAACATCCTACGGCTCTAAATCTGCTGCAACCGAAGGAAATGGTCAGAATAATAAAGAGATTGATGATTCTTGCAACAAAAAAACAGAGGAAGAGGTAGAAGATGCTGGTGTTCAGGAGGAAGGAGGTGATTTAATGCCATCAGCTCTACCAAATACATCTCCAGAAGAAGTTGTGCAAGAATGGCTCAGGAAAATCCCTTCGGAAACATTGCTTATGAAATATGAAATGGAAGATGATGGAGAAGAGGAACATGCAGAGTCAACCACTGAGGTGTCACACTGTACAAATGCTGAGGAAGCCCCGGAGGAGGAAAAAGCTGAGGAAAAGAATGAGGAGGAGGAGGAGGCTGAAAAGGATGAAGTAAAGGATGAAGAAAAGGATGAAGCAAAGGATGAAGTGGAAGAAGAGAAAGCAGAAGACACAGCTGTGGTTGAAGAGGCTGAAGAATGCGTGAACCAGGAAGAAATCTCTGAGGTTCCACCTGAAGCTGCTGAAAATGAGCAGGCAGAATGCAACAAGTCAGTTACATCCAGCCAAAATAACAACAAGAGAGACCTTCCAACCTCTGTCCAAATGTCTGTCCAGATCATGAAGGCCTTGCTCAGCTCAAAGCAGGAGACCAAATTTGACCGATCAAACAGTTTGCCTGAAGTGTCCCCCACAATGGGGAGGAAACTGAGTAACTCCGCCAACATTTTGATTACTTGTCTTGCCAGCCTCCAACTCCTTGATGAAGAGTCAGAGGATCCATCAGAAAACTCAAAACATTTGAATAAGTCAAGGTACACGGAGCTGCTGAATATTTTTCAAGCCCTGTGGTTTGGGTGCACTGCTGAAAGGAGTGGCCCAAGTTCAGGCCAAGAGGAAAGCAAGGTGGCAAAGCCAGTGTCTGGGTCTAAAGCCCCAAAATCCATGGATCATGCCTTCACTCCCATGTCCTCCTCTGGGGTTGATGTTTGCAGTTGCTCTGGTGGCTCAGGAGAAGAGTGCACAGCTGGTGCCACATTGGTGGCACAGAAAACCATGGAATGCAAATCAGCCGAGCAAATGGAAAATGCAGAGACTGGCACAGAAGTGACTGAGGTTGAGGAGCAAAGTAAAGAGGAAGAGCAGCCATCCCGCCCTTCCACAGCCTGCTCAGAGGCAAAAGGTGAGGAAAAGGCAGAGTCTGCTAGAGAGGAGTCTGTAATCCAGGAGGAAGAAGAGAATAAGGAGGATCAGGGCAGTAACTGTGAGCATGGTCAGGAGGAAGGGGAAGAAAAGGAAAATGAAGAAGAAAACAAATTAGCTGAAGCTGGAGAACAAGAAGAAGTTGAAGCTGTGAATGATGAAGTCCCACAAGAAAACCCTGAAGAAGAAGCTGACCAGCCAGAGACCACTGGTGATGCCAATGTTGGTGATGCTGATGTTGGGATGGAGCCGAAAGAGGAGTTGCAGGAGCAGCCCCAAGAAGAGTCCCCAAATGACCCCGAGCCCAAAGTCAATACATCCACCAGTGTGGGCACATCCCTTGTCCAGCAAAACTCCGTGGATCCAGACCCAACCTGGGTCCTGAGACTACTCAAGAAAATCGAGAAGGAGTTCATGGCTCACTACGTCAATGCCATGAACGAGTTTAAAGTCAGGTGGAACCTGCAAGACAACCAGCAGATGGATGCAATGATACTGGAGCTGAAGGAGGAAGTGAGTAAAAGGATACAAAAGAGCATAGAGAAGGAATTGAGGAAGATTAAAAGCAGGGCTGGAAGGAGGATGCCGAGACCTCCAGAGGGGCCACCCACACGCGAGTCCAAACTCCAAACCGAGCAGAGGAGATGGCGACTGCAAACTATGCATAAAAAGTCCCTCTTTGGGGACAAGAATGGTGCCCAGATGAGGCTGGAGGAGACATCAGACTTATCATATGATGTAGATAATGACTTTAACCTTAGTGCAGCTTTGGAGGACAGCATGAACGAACAATCCCGTGAGGAGGAATATTGTCCATGTGACTCCTGTGTGAGGAAAAAACTGGCTTCCAGGCCTGCCAGAGCCCCTGTGGTCGCCACCAATGCCCCAGTCATGAAAGCCTTTGATTTGCAGAAAATCCTGAGGCTGAAGAAAGATGGCAATGAGGAAGCCATTGTTGCAGAAGCAGCCCAGGACACCAAAACACTTCCCAATGGTTCTGTGGAAGAAGGGGCAGAAAACGAGGAGAAGGATGAGGAGCAACCTCAGGCAGGTGAAACAGAAGTGGAAGAAGAAGAAGGAAAAGAGCCAGAATTAAATGAAGATGATGGCACAACATTGAATGGAGATGGAGAGGAACCTGAAGTAGCAGAGAGTCAAAACACTGAGATAGAAGATGAAGCCAAAACTGAAGAAACCAAAGAAGAAGAAGCAGAAGGAGGGGAAGAAACAAAAGAAGGAGAAGAAGAAGAAGAAGCAAAAGAGGAGGACGAAGAGAAAGAGGAAGAAGAAATGGCTAAGGCTGAAGAGGAGGAGGAGGAAATAAAAGAGGAGGAGGGTGAAACGAAAGAAGAAGATGAGGAAGTAAAAGAGGAAGAAGCAGAGGAAAGCAAGGAGGAAGAGGAACTAAATGAGGAGGAAGAGAAGGAAACAGAAGAGGGAGTGAAGGAGGAGGAAGAACCAGAGGAGGAGGAAGGGAAGGAGGAAGATGAAGAAGGAAAGGAAGAAGCAGAAGGGAAAGAGGAAGAGGAAGGGAAGGAAAGAGAGGAAGAAGCAAAAGAGGAGGAGGAAGCCAAAGAGAAGGAGGAAGAAACCAAAGAGGAGGAAGAAGAAACCAAAGAGGAGGAGGAAGAAACCAAAGAGGAGGAGGAGGAAGAAGCCAAAGAGGAGGAAGAGGAAGAAGCAAAAGAGGAAGATGAAGAAGCCAAAGAGGAGGAGGAAGAGGCCAAAGAGGAGGAGGAGGAAGCCAAAGAGGAGGAGGAGGAAGAAGCCAAAGAGGAGGAGGAGGAGGAAGAAGGGAAGAAGGAAGAGGAAGAAGCCAAAGAGGAGGAGGAGGAAGGAAAGGAGAAAGAGGAAGAAGCAGAAGAGGAGGAGGAGGAAGGGAAGGAAGAAGAGGAAGAAACAAAAGAGGAGGAGGAAGCAAAAGAGGAAGAAGAAGAAGCAAAAGTGGAGGAGGAGGAAGGGAAGGAAGAAGATGAAGATGCCAAAGAGGAGGAGGAAGAAGCAAAAGAAGAAGAGGAGGAAGCCAAAGAGGAGGAGGAGGAAGAAGGGAAGGAGGAAGAGGAGGAAGCAAAAGAAGAGGAAGAGGAAGGGAAAGAGGAAGAAGAAGAAGCAAAAGAAAAGGCAGAAGGGGAGGAGGAAGTAGAGGAGGGAGATGAAGAAGCAGAAGAAGAGGAAGAAGCCAAAGAGGGAGAGGAAGAAGCTAAAGAGGAGGAGGAAGAGGAGGAGGAGGAAGGGAAGGAGGAGGAGGAAGAAGCCAAAGAAGAGGAAGAAACAAAAGAGGAGGAGGAAGCAAAAGAGGAGGAAGAAGAAGCAAAAGAGGAGGAGGAAGAAGAAGAAGGGAAGGAGGAGGAAGAAGAAGGAAAAGAAGAGGAGGAGGAAGGAAAGGAGGAAGAGGAAGAAGCTAAAGAAGAGGAGGAGGAAGGAAAGGAGGAAGAGGAAGAAGCTAAAGAAGAGGAGGAAGGAAAGGAGGAAGAGGAAGAAGTCAAAGAGGAGGAGGAAGGGAAGGAAGAAGAGGAAGAAGTCAAAGAGGAAGAAGCTAAAGAGGAGGAGGAAGAAGGGAAGGAGGAGGAGGAGGAAGAAGCAAAAGAAGAGGAGGAGGAAGTAAAGGAGGAGGAGGAAGAAGCCAAAGAGGAGGAGGAAGAAGTAAAGGAGGGAGAGGAAGAAGCAAAAGAAGAGGAGGAGGAAGGAAAGGAGGAAGAAGTGAAAGAGGAGGAAGCAGAAGAGGAAGAAGAGCAAAAAGAGGAAGAAGAAACAAAAGAGGAGGAAGGGAAGGAGGAAGAGGAAGAAGGAACAAAGGAAGATGAGGAAGAAAAGGAAGGTGAGGGTCAAACAAAAGAGGAGCAGGAAGTGGAAGAGGAAGAAAACCAAAAAGAGGAGGAAGAAGAAGAGGGAGAAAAAGAGGAGGAAGAAGCGAAGGAGGAGGAGGAAGAAAAAGAGGAAGAGGAAGAACAAGAAGAAGAAGCAGCTCAAAATGAAGAGCAAGAAGCTGAAGAAAAGTCCAAAGGTGAAGATGAAGGTGAAAATGAAGCTGAAGAAACAGAGGAGCCAGAGGATGAGGAAGTTGTGGCTGATGATGAGGCAGAGACATCAGAATGCAGAGGAGATGCTGAGGGCTCTGGAACTGACAACAATCCTGAAGGAGATGCTGTGGAAGGAAATGAAGAAGCTGAGCAAGAGGAAGCTGAGGCAGAAGAAGATGCAAAACCAGAGTCAGGAGACGAGGATGAGGAGAAAAGCAGTGAAAGAGGTGAGAATCCTGATGAGAATGGTGAGGAACCCACTGGGGATGACCCCAACAATGCACATGAAAAACATGAAGACCAAGGCAACAACAAAGTTTCTGAGAAAGCCTCAAGGACCAAAGGCAAGAGAAGCAACAAAAGGTTAGAGACTCTGAAAAAATCCACAGCCTTTTCTTGTTATTCTTCTGTCGGAAACTTCTCACAGCAATCCCAGAAGGGGTCCGATGATGAAGAGGAAAGAGTAGATGAAGAGGAAGGAGTAGTTGAAGAGGAAGGAATAGTTGAAGAGGAAGCAGTTGAAGAGGAATGCAAAGGTGATGATAACCCCACTAGCGACCACCCAAATGGAGAGGTTCGAAGTGATGAGAGCTCCAAACCCTCTCAGATGTATCCTGACAGTGAGGAAGAAGAAGAGGACAAAGAATCTTCAGGTTCTGATCCTGTGGGAGATGAGGAGGAGCCAGACGCTGAAGGTGCAGATCCAAAGGAGGCTGAAAACGCTGAGGAAGTTCAGGCTGATAAAAAGAAAGAAAACTCTGATGAAATTGACCAGGATGACCTGGACTTCTAGAACTGCTGACTAAAAACTGACTTTTTCTTTCTTTCTTCTTTTCTTTCTTTTTTAAAAGTATATTTTCATTACATATTTCAGTATCTCCGGTGAGTTGAGCCCTCGTAATCGGCTTTTCTTCTGAGCTAAATGTGGTAAACTCAATCTTGAATCCTGTGAGTAATGTTGCAATTACCTGCCCTCGTTTCTAGAGGGCTAGTAGCTCATTAATGCCCCGTGGTCTCAATAGATAAGTGGTTTGGGGAAAGGGAAGGCTGTTTTGTTTGGGATACCTTCTAGCTCCCACCCTTTAAGCCATGCTGTTTGCTGCTGGAGTGCTCTGTGGCTCTGCTGGGCATCGTCTCTGGGTGACTTTGGGATGCCTTTCACCTGCTGCACGCCATTTTCCTGGAGAGATTGCCAACCCACAGAAACACGACAAAATCAGGATTCATTGCCAAAGTCTGGTCAGAGCCCACAGAGATGTACATTGATGTACATTCATCTTCCCCCCCACCCTACCTTCCCTATACTTCCCTGTGTATTTATCTTGCCCTCACCTACCCCACCTCCTCTGTACCCAGAAAAAAGAGTCTGAGATATCAAAGATTTTCCCCATTTTCCCCCCTTTTTCCCCCGCTTTAGTAGATGTTGAGCTCATTGCTCATTTCACTGGAAGTCTCAACATGGAGAAAAGTCTTTCCAGTAGGTCCTCTTCCAGACCCTATCTCTTTGTACTGTGCTCATCACTGTAGTGGTAGATAAAAAAGACGAGTTAATTCACCCTGTCAGGTCTCTGAGAAGTGGTTGAACTCAATATTGACCAAATTAGGGATAGATCCAATCCCTTGTGATGTCCTTTTCTATGCCAATGATGGTTTTGAAGCACTTTACAACCAGCTGGGATCCCTCTGACAATTTTGCACGAGGCCCTGTTCTGGAGCTGACGGGATTTGCAATGGCTCAATGCCCCATCCTTGCACACAAAATTTAAACTAATTTTCCCTTTAACATGGAAAAGCTTTGGGCATTTGTGCTGCAGCAAACAGCTGGAAGAGGCTGAAGCATTTCTTGGAGAGCTTGGACTTTACAAACCACAATAGAACTGCAAACTTCATTTAGCAAATGTTTTTTACCAGATTGTAACTTTTTTTTTTCTTTTTCCCTTCCTCTGGGGAAATATAAACATTTCTGAATAAATGCCCAACAAATGTCAGGAGAAGTTTGACCATACCTCAGCTGCATACTTGTGCAAAGCTCTTAGGGACACAGTTCATTTTATCAAAAATTTGCAGGGAGAAGAAAAGAGAGGGGTTGAAAACAAAATGCCTTAAATTGTATGGAGAAAAAGTATGTGTGTAGTGTTGTGTTGGGTTTGTGGAGATGTATGCAAACATGCTTAAATAATCAGTATTCCAAATTAAGCAGTTCCTGTGGTTTTCATTTCTAGAATCCATTTCTTAAACTTACAGCCAGAGATAAGATTCATTTCACTCAAATGAAGAACTGGGTTCAGCTCCAGAGGCAAACACCTAATTTTGGGTCTCTGAGGAATAGGGGAGTTTGGGAGAAGCCACTGGAGAGCTGGATCTCAGCTGAGCTGTTCCCACAAAGGCTGACAGTGCCTCCAGGGAGATCATCCAGGGACAACAGCACCATCCTCTAGATGGAGGAGTTAAAATAACCTTCCTCAAAAGAAGGAGAACCCTATCTGTGAGCCTCATGGAATCACAGAATGGTTTGGGTTGGAAGGGCCTTGAGCATCATCCGTTTCCAACCCCCTGCCACGGACAGGGACAACTTCCACCATCCCAGGTTGCTCCAAGCCCTGTCCAACCCTGGACACTTCCAGGGATCCAGGGGCAGCCACAGCTTCTCTGGGCACCCTGTGCCAGGGGCTCCCCACCCTCACAGGGAAGGATTGCTTCCCAATATCTAACTTAAATCTCCCCTTTTTCAATTTTTACACATAAAGAACATCAAGTCCAACTGTTAGCCCAGCACTGCCAAACCCACCACTAAACCACGTCCCCAGGTTCTACATCTTGTATAGAACCCATTTGGTTTCATAATCAGCTTTGTGACACATCAGTCCATGCAGGATTCCAAAAAGAACTGAGCCTGGGTAGTCACAGCTCTGATCCTGACATGAGGAATAGACTGGAAGTGGTACATGTTGAGTGAACTCTAAACATTCCTGGTGAAACGTCTCCCCCTGAGCCACTGACCAGAATACCATCATAACCAGCAGGGAGAGAGGGGCAAAGACTCTGATTCATCTGCAGCTCCCTTGGGAGGAGGGGGAGTGCGCTGCCAGCAGGCACATTTCCACCTGCAGAGTGCACAGGGAGCCTAGACAACTTCCTCAGATGAAAATCACACAACCACAGAATTATTAGGTTCTAAAAGACCTCCAAGGCAATCAAGTCCAACCTGTGACTGACCTCCACCTTGTCACCCAGACCAGAGCACTGAGTGCCACCTCCAGTCATTCCTTGGACACCTCCAGCAGTGGGGACCCCACCACTTCCCTGGGCAGCCCCTTCCAAAATGTCTCATATGGGAAGAGCTGATCTCACTGTAGCTACTCTAAAGCATCTTATCTTCATGACTTTCAGGCTGTCAGGCAACAGCTCAAGCCAGTCATCCCATGGAAGTTTTAAAAGGTGTCTTTTTAGCTCCAAGATAACAAAGGGAATGGCTTCAAACTGAAAGAGTTTAGGTTGGATATTAGGCAAAAATTCTTCCTGTGAGAGTGGGGAGGCCCTGGCACAGGCTGTCCAGAGAAGCTGTGGCTGCCTCTGGATCCCTGGAAGTGTCCAAGGCCAGGTTGGACAGGGCTTGGAGCAGCCTGGGATAGTGGAAGGAGTCCCTGCTCAGACAGGGGGTGGAAGTGGGTAAGGTTTAACATCCCTTCCAACCCAAACCATTCTGGGATTCTATGATTGCCTTTCTGTGCTATTGCTAAAAGCCACTGTTGGAACTTAACAGGTTAGGGAAAGGGCAAACATTTCCCAGGATTTCTCCTGCAGCTGCTGACTTTGATCACTTTAAAGCTGCTTACACAGTCAACGCCACGCCCTGCTCATGTTGAATCAGTCAGTTCCTCACCTTGCAGCACAGGCAAGGAGAAAGAAACTAAAAGGAACAAAAAAATGCAGATGTCAAACCATGAAAACTGAAATCACCCAAGTTCCTGCCCAGGAGACCTGTCCCACTCATGTCTGCATTTGTCACCATGTCTGGGCAGTGACTCACACATATGCCAGTCACAGTCAGGGCAGAGTGAGCTCTGCTCACCAAAATCCTCACTCAGAGGGGCTGGGGAGCAGCCAGTGGGGATGCAGAGACAGATGTTGCTGAAGGAGGTATCTCTTTCCTCCACTAGTCTCACCCAGGATGGCCCAGAGAAGGAAGCAACCAGCTGGAAAGGATCCCTCACAGCCACATCCCTGCTGCTCGCTCGGCTCCCAGCGTTCGCATTTCCCCTTGGCTGCGGTGACTCAGGCGCCTGTTGGGTCTTGCAGCTTCCCCTCTCCCTCTGACAGCACGGGAACACGTGTTCCCAGCCAGCTCCAGGGCTGTCACGTTCAGAGGGGCTGGGGAGATCACTCCTGTCACCACCTGGGAGGGATTACAGCTGCTGTCTTTCAGCAGGGCTGAGGAGGAGGAGGAGGAGGGAGCAGAGGCGACGTGAGACTTGCACAGCCGTACTTCGTGTTTTCCTGTGATCCTCTGCCTGTCTTTGGGGTGGTTGTTTTTGTTCCTTTACCAGCCAGACAAATTGCTTCTTGATCTGCCTCGGTTTTGTTTGCCTGCTTGGTTTTGAAATGGGAAATATCCAGTGAAAGATGAGGAGGAGCGTGGTGAAAATTCAAGCGCCAACCACGGAAACGAAGGAAATGTGCTTCCCAAAGCTGAGGTCTTTGCAGATGTGTGTGAGCAGACTCCTCTCACTAATGGAGAGCAATAATCCCCCTTTCCTGGTGGCTCCTTGTTGACATAGTGCCATATTTAGCTCCAGCCACTTGAAATCCCAGCTGCCTGACAGGAAAGGGTGGTTTGTGGTTATTTCTGGACCTCAGGCTCCTCCAGTAGGTTTTTCTCTGGAGGGCAGGTATAGTTTCCAAGCTGGTTGTGGA